GGACTCGGCGTTTGAAGGCAAGACAATTCCGATGGTATGTCCTTGAGCTCCGCATGATATTCACAATGAACGTTGATGTCATACCAATTTGGATACGGAGGTTGGAATGGTTTTATGTAATATGGAGCTATTTCTCGTGCTTCAAGTAACTTTTCATACAAATCTTTATATGATATAGGTATAGCATCAATATGAGAACCGCCTTTTGTCTTGAATTGAACCTGAGTTTTAGATATCGGGAGCATACTAAACTTCGATGATTTCAGATTACATGATTCTTCTCTTCTCTGGGAGCTTGTACAGTCGTCACCATTTCTTTGGTATCTCCAGACGATTGGTAAATACGAATGATGATTGTCTGTAATTTCTACAATTGGTTAAGATCCGAAGTCCCTTGCATATATGAAATTGCAGGATTATCTTCATTAAGCTTTCTCTCTTTCTGTGCAGGAATCTCTTCTCTTTTGGCCAAAACAGATATTATATCCATCATTTTGGACATCTGCTCTCTTATTTCTCGTATCTCCTTTTGCTCTTCAATGGGCATACAATCTTTGGGTGCATAGCTCTTCTCTATCTTCAGAGTTCCCTCAGGATGTCTTTTCTTGGCCGCATCATATTTTGTTTGATCATAGAACTTTTTGTCCATTTATGATTTCTTTCTAATTTGATGAACAGTCTTTTCAGTTAACACCTTTTGGTCATGATCATGCAATGCAAACAAAAGAAAACAATTTAAACAAATTAGAGCAAAAATAACATACATGGGAAAATAAGAAAAAATAAAATGGTTAATACCAACTAATTGAAAGAAAAATTTATTTATCATGGTATATAATAAATCCTAACCTCATGCTTTCTAGTTCCATGCTTTGTTTGGAAAAATTAACCTAACCGCATGATTTCTAGTTCGCATGCATTTATTCAGGGAGAAAAAATAATAATAAATTAAATAAATTAAAAGCTAGAGCTTATTTCTCCTTGGTGTACACCTATGAATAGAAGTTCAGTACTGTCTTAGATTAGGTGAATTTCTAGGGTTTATTATATGCAGAGTTTCAGTTCTAGGAGTAAAGGTACTCGAATTGTCCTTGTTGATGCCCCCTTGGGCTGTCAACCCTCAATCCTAGTCCATTACAGACTTAAACGGATCGAGTTCAATTTGAGGGGACACATTTCTCTATACCTGACACGGAGAATAAATTCTCACGAAGACATAGAGCATATAAACCTCGAAAGTTACTTGCTAGGTCTGACACGGAGAATAAATTCTCACGAAGACGTCGCTTTCACTCCCACTTAAAAGGGACAAACTCAATTATAGAGCTTTATGTTATGCAATGCAAGTGTTGTGTGTGAGGAGAAATATTCAAACCTCTAACAGATAAATAAAATAATTAATACCTGAATAAAAAACAATATTAATATAAAAATAATAAATAATAAAAATTTGAAAGAAAAGAATTAAAAATTAAATAAATGAATTTTTAATTTCTAATTAATAGAGACAATTTATAATTGATTTTAAAGTTTGACGGTCCCCAGCGGAGTCGCCAAGCTGTCGTAACCGGTTTTCGTCCGGGCACGAAATATTTACTTGACGGGAAAAGTGATGTGAATAAATGGTTTTGAAAATAATTTGGGAGTCGCCATCGGCCTTTTGGGTCAGGTATGTCGAATACCTAAAAAATATCTTTTAAAAGAGTTTTTAAGAAAACATCAATTAAAAGATAAATTGATCTGTGTTTTAACCAAAAATTCGTTCTTTTTAATAATAAAAAGGGATTCGTGGTCGGTTACGTTTAGGGAAGGATTAGCACCCCTACAACGCCCAAAATTGGTACTTTTTAATCATAAATTGTCTCTATTATTAAAATTTAAAAATTCAAAATATATTTAATTTAAATTTATTACTATAATTTTAAGTAAATTTATTAATTTATATAAATAAGATATTTATTTATTTTGAAATATCAGAAAAGAGCTTCTAGGTGTTTTAAGACAGTTCCTTCCTTTGATATTAAAAAATAAATAAATATTAAAACATTTATCAAAAAAATAGATTAATATATACAATTTATAAAAGTAGGACATTTATTTATTTAAGAATATTAGAAAAAGACTTCTAGGTATTTTAAGACAGCTCTTTTCTTAGATATTAAAAAATAAATATATATCAAAATATGTTTTATTTTTCTTAAAAGTAATTTATAAAATTAAATTTATAAATAGGATTTTTATTTAATAAACAAATAGAATAAATAAATAAATATTATATATTTATATAACTTAATAATAATAATAAAATAATCATGAAGATAATAATTTAAACATATATCAAAAGTAATAATAAAATAAAATAATAATAATTAAAATGAAAGAAAACAAAAGTAATAATATTAAAACTATTGGATTATATTCATAAATATATGAACCTAAAATGTAAAAATAATAAGACTTATGGTTAAAATTAAGATTATATAAAATTTAATGATCAAATTATAAAATATAAATATTTAAGAGACATGGTTAGAATTATCATAAAATATAAATACTAGTAGTATAATTAGCCATTAATTATTTAATAGGTGATTAAAATAGAAATATTAAAATTATTAGGGACTAAATGTGATATTTATCCTAAATATATTATTTAATACTGGTAAGGACTAAAACATAATAAAATAAAATTTGAATACTGAATTAGAACATTCAGAAATTAGTTTTAGTGACTAAAATGAATAATTACAAAACTTAGATGGCTACGGAAGGGGTTTAGCCATACATGTAAATTACGCATATACCCCTTCCTAGAACGACGTCGTTCGGGAAGGGGTATATATACCCCTTCATAGTTGGCCCGAAGGGCCAGCAGCCTCATTGTTCTCTTCTTCTTCTTCTCTCAAAAACGAGAGAAGAAGCTCTCTCTTCCTTCTCTCTTAATTCCCTCACCGGAGGGAATTCTGGCGCCGATAGCCACCGCCAACCTCACCGCCGACCACCGCCTCCGGTGGCCGGAAAATAAAACTTTATACCACAACGTAGATCGGATCGTCCTAATGACGATTCTGATATTTGTTTACCTTAAAAAGCTCTCAATCGGAGCAAATCTATAAAAATACCTTCGGTTTTCGAAGGTTTGTTGTGGAGCGTGGAGGCGCGTGGTTACTCCGGTGGTGGTGTGGCTTTCCTCGGTAAGATTTCTTTCGATTTTTATCTCGTTATTTTGGTGTTTGACGGTGGTTGGATTGCTTGCTGTTGGTGTTGTTGTCTCCCGTTTTCTAGTTGTCCTCCTCTTTTTCTTGCAGGGGACGGTGGCTTTTATAGCCACCACCGGTGATGGCTTCAGACCGGTCCAAAGGATAAAAGGCCCGGTGAGTCACCATAGCTATGGTGGTGACTCACCATAGGGCTCGACGTGGGTTGCTTCGTGACGTTCTGGAGTGTCGGCAGCAGCTGTTGGACCACCTGGAATCATCAGAGGCGGCTGGAAGCATCTGGAAACAGCTGGCTGCTAGGGTTAGAAACCCTAGGGTTTTCAATCTGGAACCCTTTTGGGCCGTTGGATCTTGCCAGATCCAACGGCTGATGATGTTGACGGCGGCTGGCCTTCTGGAATCTTGGAGGCGGCTGGGGGCTAGGGTGTGAAAACCCTAGCTGAAACCCCAAATCAATTCAGGGTTTCCATTTGGGTTTGGGATTTGATAACCGAGCCTCCATATTTGTAAAACGGGCCTCCGGGTCCTTTGGGCTTGTAATATATATATATATATATATATATATATATATATATATATATATATATATATATATTAATAATAATAATAATAATAATAATTAGTAATAATAAATTTAATAATAATAATAAAATTTAAATGAAAAAAATGATGTCTACACACTGGAAAGCCATTATTTTGATTAACAACGTTTTCTACAAGACAAGAAAAAGTGTAACATTTTAGCTTACTTATGAAAGCAGTAAGGAAGCAGATGCTTTCCCAGAATCGGTGCACCCCATGTTTAATTTCAAACATTACCGTACTTTGTTGTCATCATTTTATGTTTTGGAAGCTTCTTCTTAGTCGTTGGTTTTCTGCTCTTACTGTATTTTTCATGGCAACCATTCTCTGCTTTTTGAACATTGACAGCCGTGTATGAACATCTATGCTGCCATGTTTTCCCCATGAGCCCACAACAGTAACAATGGGTTCCATGTCAATTTCGTTAGACAATGCAGCTAGATGCAGCCAAACGATGTAAAATGGGTCACCTTTGAGGGTAGGGATGTCAGTTGGGCCTCCCGCATCCATCCGCCAGTAATTTTCATCCCTCTAAAACCCAATATGGTAACCCACGAGATTAGAATCATCTTTGGTATGCAATATGTGAGAATCAAATTATTTTAATTCTATAACTATGGTTATAAGATTGACCTAATCTTCATTATAATCCTCTTACAAACCAATTTTTTAATTATATTTGTTCATAATTATTGATTCAATAAATATTACTTAGATTAATCAAAATAAATAAATATAAATGATTTTTCATGAAAAAGTCTGAAATACTATCCTATGCTATGGGCTCCAGCCATATACATATGGTTTCAAGTTTCAACAATGTCCATAGTTTGCTACCATTGACAGAAATAAAAATAAAGAGGGGGCACCCTCACAGTTTCCAAAGGGCTAAATGGAATGTGAATAACTTCAAGAACCCTAACATGTAACAAGAAACACATCGAAAAGATTTAATAATAAAAATAAATGCTTATTTTACATGACAAAGGTAGAATGCCATTTAATTTGCATAATTTATACATAAATTGAATACATAGAAACCTCATTTTTGAGATTCCAAAAAAATGTGTTCACCTCCATGTGGATTTCTTCTCCCTACCAAAAATATGAATTTTGAGTCACTGTCAGTAATGCCTTCAAACAACAACTGAAGATCATCAATGAATACAAATGAACGAAAAAAGAAATGGTGAATTGTAATGCCTTAGGGAAAACTCCATAGACGAATATCGTCCAATTCCTCATAAAAATCATTCATCACTGCGGGTGGATCAAACGGCGCTAAGTTGAACATCTGATCAATGTACTTTGGAGATTGCAGGCAATCAAAGGAGTTGTACCATGGCTCCGCCATAGAAATAGGCTCAAGTGATTGCATCACTGATACTTCATCATCGAGTACTTGATCAGATGGTGATGTAACAGATGAAGATGAGGATGTGGAGGGTGGCGTTGGAGATATTGGTGGGGAGGCGGCGGCGGCGGCGCGGACCACTCTTTGTATGGACTTAGGAGACATAATGGTATCAGGGATGTAACGATGAGTGGGTGTGAGTGGGAAGTTGAGATTTGCGGGGGAACCTTTGAGGCATAGCAGTGCAGCATCATAGGCTCTTGCTGCTGCTTCTGCTGTAGAATAAGACCCTAACCAAATCCTTGTTTTCTGATTAGGTGCCCTAATAAGCTCGGACACCCAAGAACCCCAGCTTCTCATTCTCACACCCTTGTACTTCTTCTTCAAGGATGATGATGGTGATGGACATGTCAATGCTTGTACCTTTTGTTGACCACTCTTCACCATTGGAAATAAACTATCAAGATAAAAGGATCAATTTATGAACAAATTGCAGTGTGTACTTGTTGGATATGCCGCAAAAGGATCAAACGCTTCTGGTTTTTGTTGGTTTTGGAACCGAGGAGTGCAATGAGGTGAAGAGCTGAAAGCGGGGAGTATTTATAGATGGTGATAGAGTTCAGTTCTTGAAGATGGAAGATCCCTTGGTCAAATCCGTATATGAATATGAAAACGTAGAAATGGGTGACAGGCACATATTTAAAGGTGTATATAAATAGAAAATAGATATCAGTGAGTGGTGTTATAGTAAATATATATTGTAGATGACACATGCACTGAAGAAATGTCAATTTGCACACTCAACCTACTTGTTCCACAGACCTCAAATAGTTATGTTCATCCTCAAAGTTACAGCTTTCAAAACTAAAAACACTTCTATATTGGTTTCTTTATTTTCTACGAGGTAATTATAATATTACATTTGTTCAGATTTTCTAATCTATTGACAATACATATATTTTAAAAATGTAGATGTTAGAATTTGAAATTTCTAAAAAAATATTTTTTCTCGTTATTGAGATCATTTGATGATTTCATTTCAGTTTTTTTATATTTTTAATGATCTACTCATTTTATTTTTGGTAAAATTAACTATTTATGCCAAAAAAAAAAAGAACTACCCTTTTGTTTATTTGATACTCTAATGTGAGTTTAGAAAAGAAAAAGAACATAGGATTCTTCCCAAGTAACTTCCAAGATCTAGAGGGTTTTTTATTAATCAGTTTTTTGGGTGCACTATAATCATAGTACTTGAATTTAAATAATATATATATATATATATATATATATTATTTAAAAAAATTTAAAAAAAATCATATAACATATTTATATTTAAATACAAGTAATAAATATAGACTTTAACAGAATAATGTACATTTTAAAGATAATTTTGTTTACTTCGATAAATATGTACACATAGTATAAAAATTGTTAAAAAAACACAAGAATAAGAGAGAGGGAGAAGCCAGCTGTTGCTGGTCTGGCTGGCAGGTCCAAAATCAATTACGATGCCTGTCATGTTGGCCACGTGCGTTTCAGGTTTAAAGCCAGTCCTTTTTTGAGACACAAATTACCCTTTCTAAAGTTAGGGTTATGGACCAAAATACGTATAGAGCTTATTAGTTTTTGTAACTATGGGATGGGTGGGATGAGCCCAATTTTTGTATAGTATGCATTGGTTTGATGCAGATTGTATTTTGTCATCTTCCCTATCAGGGAAGTGGCCATTCATATGCCTGCAAATGTTCAAAGATCTAACAAACGAGTACATTGCACATTCCCGGTCGTTATCCACACTCGAAAATAAATATTTTATACAAATACATTTTAGGTATATTCATGCTTATGTATGTATTTTTTATAATATCTCTTCATAAATTTTTTTAGTTTATCGGGAATGCACACATAAATTGTTGCGGAATACGGTTATCGGATAGAGCAAAATCGCAACTGATAATTTGAGAAAATAAAAAATGAAGATAAAAAAAGACAAAATTTACGTGGAAAACCCCTAAATAAAATAGGGTAAAAACCACGGGCAACGGTAGAAGAATTTCACTATGAGAAAATAGGAATTACAACTTCTCTCGATCTACCAAGAAGAAAACAATGATAATTCTCTCTTGATAAAAAGGAGAAAACAACTCTCAAGAAACTCTTTAAATTCTCTCTAGTATTGGAAGAAAGCTAGAATGCTTTGGGATGGTTTTGAAGCTAAATGAGTTAGGGTATTTATAGTTGAAACTTAAGGACTAATTTATAAATACCCTAAAATACAATGACTAAATGTGTAGTTTTACCATCCATGAATTTCAACCATTTGCTTAATAATTGTTCAAAGCCGCCGGCTGCTGGCACCATTTGCTGCCCAAATTAGCCGCCTGGCTGCTAAGCCATTTATCTTGACTTTTCAACAATCTCCCACTTGAAGATTTGATTTGAACAATCATATCTTCACACCATTCTTTCTACCTTGTACCTTCATGTTGCTTACGTCTCTGACAGACCACAAGAGGATCGACACCAGGTAAATTTTATTGTGCAACGATGTGGCCTCTTATAATTTGGTGAGATGATCTCATATCTCCTTAGCTGTCTTTTTCTCCTCGATGCTTGACAATACTTCATCTGCTAATGCTAGATGAAAGTTTGTCATAGCATTTCCGTCTATTTCGATCCATTTGCTGTCATCTGCAAAATCCACCGGCCTTTCACTGATAGCCGCTAGACACCCGTCTTTCCTTAGGATGGCCTTCATCTTTAATTTCCACAATGAGAAATTTCTCCCATTGAATTTTTCAATATCAAATTTCGTTGTCATATCTTCAATTACGGATAGCTCCCACTATTTCACTATCGTGAATAGTTCTCTGGAATCTTCAAAGAATGGGTAATACCTTCTTAATTTCTTATGTTGGAGGATCCACCTTTTGGTGGCAACCACAAAGACAATAAGCAGATATTACACAATCTAATCTGGCTCTGATACCAATTGTTGTGGAAGACTGCTATCGGATAGAGCAAAATCGCAACTGATAATTTGAGAAAATAAAAAATGAAGATAAAAAGAGACACAAAATTTACGTGGAAAACCCCTAAATAAAATAAGGTAAAAACCATGGGCAATGGTAGAAGAATTTCACTATGAGAAAATAGGAATTACAACTTCTCTCGATCTACCAAGGAGAAAACAATGATAATTCTCTCTTGATAAAAAGGAGAAAACAACTCTCAAGAAACTCTCTAAATTCTCTCTAGTATTGGAAGAAAGCTAGAATGCTTTGGGATGGTTTTGAAGCTAAATGAGCTAGGGTATTTATAGTTGAAACTTAAGGACTAATTTGTAAATATCTTAAAATACAATGACTAAATGTGTAGTTTTACCATCCATGAATTTCAACCATTTGCTTAATAATTGTTCAAAGCCGCCGGCTGTTGCCACCATTTGCTGCCCAAATTAGCCGCCTGGCTGCTAAGCCATTTATCTTGACTTTTCAACATAAATCTTATAGATGTAATTATTCGAATATGAATTCTTAAAAAAAATTACTTTTATCATTGAAACAACTTAATATTCTTAAGATGTATGTATGTATAGAATACACATGGAACATTCCTATTACGATAGGTTTCAATTATAAGGTTACAAAAGGCAGGCCATTAGGCAGAAGATAAGATGACTATTTGTAAGGCAATAATGTGGAAAGGAACACATGTTGTACTAAAGTGCAATGGTCATCAAATTTCTAGTTGCTATAACAAAGGAAAAAGGTATTGACAGTGAAACATTAAATAAATAGTCCACAGAAATGCACTTTCCAATGATAAATCATGTGTGTGTCGGCTACCCGTACAAATCTTGTTCCTTTCTTAAAATTAGAGGGTATTGTCCTAAATCAAACGTGAAGTATTATTCAATCAAATACTGCTGCAGGTGCTGGCAGGATCTGATTTTGCAATAAGAAGATGCATTTTTAAATGATTCCGCTGCACGTGTTGGGGCCATCTTTCCTCATTTTTCTAATCTTTAATTAGTCAGAAACTTAGAAATGAAACAAGGGTTTAGTTTCTTGGAAATGAGCAAGTACTTTCATTTTCTACATTCAGCAGCTGGTCTGGATCAATTTAACAAATTTTATACATAAATGAGGTAATTTTAAGAAGAAATATATATAAACTGTATATGAAGGGAATCGAAATGATAACTCCAAGAGAAGTGAGTTTGAGAAATATTTGTTTACTGATATGAACGTTTTCCTGCAGTGATGCCATGCCAAATGAGTTGTTTCAACTATGAAAGCACTTGAAACTGAATCATTCATGGATCAACTTCTAAATAGCTTTTTCTCTGTAATTTTTTATTTACCCTTTACCATAAAGCTGCTATTTTAAGTCAAATGTTTTCTTTCCCGTTTATTATCTATTAAAAGTATCCCACAAATATTAATTTTTATATTATCTTATGTTCTTATATTCATATTTAAGCTGCTCATCTTCGAGTTTGACGTTTGAAAAGAAAAAACTATACGTCCAGCTGGCATGGGTTCATAGGCCTATTTACTCAAATATCACATATTTAGAAACTAATACTTAGTATTAATATAAAAACAAGAGTCTAAATTATATCTTGAAATATCATTTGGTGTCTAATATTTTAAACATTAAAATTTTAAGTGTTCGAGTATTAGTCGCCGTTAAAAATTTCTGTGAAGTGACACATGTCACGTTCTGATAATTTATATTTAAAATAAAAAAATATTTTCAAAAAACTAAATTTTTTCAAATCTTAAAAAAATTCAAAACTTTTAAAACCTTAATTTTAATCTCTTTGCCACCGCCAGCCGCCACCAACGTCGTCAATCGATTGAACACCTAATGATGTACGACCGACCAACCCACAACCAAAATCCCCGTACTTTCTCAACTGGACACCTAAAAACTACATAAATGAAAGATTTCATTTTTGGCTTTCGAATTCCTAAAAGTCCATTTGGTCGTGGTAGTCGACCGTTTGATTGGATGAGACGGTCGGTCGTTTACTGTTTGGTTAGTCATGGTAGTCGACCGTGACAGTTGTCCTTTGGCTGTTTGCAAGGGAGGAGAACACGGTGAGAAGGGAGAGGGTTTTTTCTTTTTAAATAAAAAATAAAAAAATATAACGATAGACACCTAAAAGCATAACGGAGAAAACGTTAAACACCTATTAATTTTTAACCAAAAATTCTTTATACAGTTTATACATTTATTTTTGTATTAAATCTAATACTTAATTTAACATCCATTTATAAACGCGTTTCTTGTAATGTACACTTTTTTTTAAAATGTTACATATTTTAACATTTTTGTATATTGCTTTACTATTTTATCTCATTAAATTTTTGTTATTGTAAGAAAAGTTTATTAAAGACTCTGAAAATGAGAAGAAACTTTGAATTGTTATGAAATAT